TCCGCTCCCAGAAGTTCCTCTGACGTGCTTTACGAACCCCATCAATGCGGGCATGTTATTCCATGTTGCGGTGTTCGTGTGTGCATGCCCAGATCTAAGCAGACATCCACCGCGATCAACCGGCTTTTGTACATGGGTAGATAGAGTGAGAACCCTATCCTCACCGCGTTCCTGTGGATACCCTGGCTAGGATTTCAGGGACTTCCTCGAGATTATGACTTCGTTTAGTTTTATCCAAGTACTGGGGACTGGAGACACTTAAGATGTCGTTTAGATGAAATATGAGCCCCAGTTGGATTGAAATCGATGGTGAGCTGACCGAGAGTGGTCAGCACCTTTTGAAAAACGTACTGTGTAAAGAAATTATGTTACCATATTTCGAGTGTCTTGCTGACAAAAATATAAGGTGGTCTTTGTACGGCAGGTTGACCTGAGAAATATCACAAACAAGAGATCCAATTACATCCCTCGTTTACGCCAATGAAGCTCACAAATAGGTGTATCTTGTCCTCGATCACTGCTCTTCTATTTCAAGCGATCGAATTGTGACCAGTACATAGTGTCCATTGGGAATGCATAGGGAAGACCAATATCCGTATTCTGACGTGGAGGAACCCTTTCATGCATATGATTCACAAAATGCTAGATGAATAAACAAGCAATCATCTGCATCACAGATGGAATGCAAAGTTTTGTGAACAGAACTCCAATTGTACTTTTGGCGCTGAATTTGACATCTGTCTGATGAGCTGGCACGTGACTACACGTAACAACAATCGTAGCCACGATGAAGATGCCCAACAGTGGTTCGGCTATCGTTTTCTCCCCTTTAAAGACAAATCGAATGCAAGGTCTCTTCCAAGTGTGCCTTTAACGGATATTTCGTGCCAGAACGAAAAACATCATGCCAGTGGAAAGGACAATGTTCCCCCTCCACCCGCATCCAAGGGTCTCACGCAATAGTGGATAAGATATCATATCATTCGTACGGCATACAGTAAACCACTTGCGGAATCAGTAACTGTGGTCCCGGTCAACAAAAAAGCACTCTACTACACCATCAAGCTGGGATATAACTCTGACACGAACTCTGTTGCTTGTTGAGGAATACTACCACTTTTTGCCTGAGCGAAATGTTCTTTGTAACAACACAACTGTGTGGTTTTCTCAAACTTTGTCCCGCTTGACATAAAGACAGGGTATTACTGGATATTACTCTTTCGAAGTCCGCTCAAACTTTAAAAACTATATGAATCAAGATGAAAACAGAAAATTATACCTCCCTCCCCCAACTTACAGTCCACACAACTTTGTTTCAGACTCTGTTAAAGAACAGAGAAGCAGAGTCTTTGCAGACAAGGACTCACTCTTGTGTCGAAAAACCAATGGTGCATGACCGAATTCCGATGACAATCTGTCTGTTTTCTAGAAATGCGTTCTCATTTTTGTCTGCGATTCCACATCAAATAAACACCAAGTTTCCTTTAGCGTCAGTGTAGAGCCCCGCAATTGAAGACTTTGTAGTGGTTACTTCGGTCACGCGCTTACCGCATTTCTAATCATTGGGTGCACGCGTGCGTACAGACGAACTTTTTCGGGCTAATGACATACTGTTGGGTTATTTTAGTCCGTTCTTGATTATTGTTATGCTTTCCTCAGACACAGATACCCTTGTTGGTATGGTTTCACGTGAAACCGCACATAGAAGAATCTGAGCCAGAATCCGCCTAAAGATTCTTTCTTTTCAGACAGATTCTGTTACAGACCTTTTACGTAGTATTGAAACACGCTATGACGAACTGCATATTACATCAGAGAAAACATGAGGTGGCTTCATTGCAGAATGTTTAATGCAGGAACATTATAACCGGTCTCATGTAGAACATAAGGTTGACGGAAACTCGGGGACTGTGCCTACCTGATGAACCCCAAGAAGGACGAAACCGGTCGTGAGCTGTCAACGAGTTTTCAGCAACCTTACGAGTAGTGTATTACAAAACCTTAATAAAGATTCGAGAAGTCAATATACACCAAGACGGACGCAACCGTCAAGAATATATAATCTGACTTTTACATATGGACCATATAATACCCATGGTTCTTCTCAAAGTGACAAGAGTGATTCCTAACTCAAACTATATGCCACGGCCTTGATAGCCAGAACGCGATCACGTGACAAGCTGTTTTCCATTTGTCAGTTACGCTCCGATTGCTGGTCGTACAGTGGACCGTTTACTAAAGGCACTTACTTGCTGATATATTTTTATACAGGTACAAGTTTAGTTTCCGTTTGTTCACGCACTACTGATCACCCACTGGGGGATTCAAAGAGTACAAAAATATGGCTGATATTGTATGGTGGTGTAAACAGGAATTTATACCTAGTGTGAATATTGTGCTTTGTCACCGTGAACATTTTTTGTGGGTCTGTAAACAACAGTTAGCTACCAACACGTAAACAAGCTCAAGTTGGAATCAAAAAGACAAAAGTTGATGCAAAATCCCGCGTAGTCAAAAAATGGTGGGTAATTTTCTAGGTTTACGATAGAAGCGATGGAGAGACCTGACTGACGCCATAAAAATGTTAACCAATCAGATAACTTTACACTTAAAACAGCCCATAACCCATTCTGGTGCTCATCAGATAGGCGCTGTCCTCGAGTATCCTTACTTGAAACAAAATCGCACGAAGTTAGCGAAATACACTCTTTTCGTTTTGACAGAAGACTCACGTGGAACTCAGCTGAATCTCTTGAATATCGTGTCAACGGAAACATGTAGCGGGATGGTGCATCATATACAGTTACTTGAAAACATCATGAACGAGCGATTCACTCGGGTTCCAGGTGAATCTCTCGTCAAAAACAAATTGGTATGCAGATGCATTTAAATTCTGAGTACAGGTAGGCTACGAATAACAGCAGTTTTTTTCAAAATCGGCTTAAGGAGCACCAGTGGTGATGCGCGTTCCACACCGCGGGCTGGTTCGATTTGGACGAATCTGCTGGCTGATCCAACTCTGTGGAACCTGCCAATTTTTTTCAAACATGTCTTTTTTGTTTGCTGTTTTCAATAAAAACCTCCTTTCATATTTTACTAAGGTGTGACATTCTTACTTTCTCACTGCCCTCCCAACGTCGTGCGGTTGTAAACGGCGTAATATTGTGGAACACGGGTGCGCGGATTTGTTCTTCTGTTCGTCGCAATTGGCAATCACATTGCAAAAGTTTCGCCACTATTCCCAGTGGCCACGTCAGTGTGCCGTTGTGTGGGTACTTCATCTATTTTCTAAGTTTCTAAAAGCTCTGCTGGAGCTGGTTGTTTGTGAGCTGGTTTCTGTGTAAATGGATTGGTTGTCATGTATCTCTGAATTGCGTGGTGGTCTAATTTCCTTGCAACTGATTGGTTCGGTAAATGCAATTGTCTTAGCGGTTCTCCTTAATTCTGAGTACTCCGTTTTTTGGCTCCCTTGTGGCCTAGCATCCTTGCTCAATTAGACAATCCTCCGTTTGCAGAATTTTTCAGTTATTATTTTGATTTTTCATTGAGTACCGTATTGCCTACATTCTCATCCGGTTCAGTGTCCATTTTGTGCCGAAGATTCTATTGACTGGTTTCTCTGCGCAGTACGTTTCCGGGACAAATTCCGCTTCTTTTGTATTACCTGAGCAAGTGGATGAAACCTGCTACAGTAGGACTCTTCTTTGTGTTCATGAGTTGAAACAAGTGATATCAAGTCATCCCTTCCACTAGTAGGTATGTTCGTTTATTCTGTCGGCACGTTTTTGCCTGGCCTTACCATAATTGTGTTTGTCGCAGAAGTTGTATTGACGTTTCCAGATATCGATTTCCTTGTCGATCGCATTAAGTATTCTCTTTTATATACGAAAGCTCTCCTTATTTATTTTGCTATCCGAGAGCAACCATTTTTCTTGTATAAGGTATCTTACGATAACTTGTCTATCTCAGATCATACTATCTTGATGTTCCACAAATTTTTTCTGATTCCTTGTCACATAAACGGACTTACACTTCATTCGCCGAAGCTATCTAGGACTGGCTGGCAACGACCACGTTAAACAGAGCTATTACTTATGGAGGTATTTGTACTTCCGCAGGAGATGATTCTTCCGTCTAAGCGCTCCAAACTGAAGATTCACGTGACTGAACTCCGGTTGCCATCCTGCTCATTCTGCATCTTTAATTTAAGAAAGACGTGAGAAGTTGGCATCTATGTGATTTGTTGAACAACGGCGATGCAACCATGGAGCACCTGCGGACCATAGGGAAACAACAAATGGTTTGCTCTGCCTTCACTGCTGAGCCGCTTGCCAGCCCTTGCTACCGATGTGGATACCACAGAATGAGATCGGATGACGTACTTTCGCGGGCTCAATCAGCCAGCCAAAACACGATAAGCGCCCGAACCACCCTTTTTGTTTATTATTAGTGTACCAGAGTCAAACTTCAATCCCTTTAAATTTCATCCAATACCCGCCCCTCAGCTAAGATGTCGAGCCAGTGTTTTGAAATTGCGCCTAGTAAAGAACTGCCAAGATATTAATGGATAACCGTGCGGTATTTTAGTAAATCTGCATTCGCTTACATTGTCATTGAGCAGGTACCAGTCGGACAGTGGAACAAAATCAACCTGGTTCCAAGTGATCAGGTTTAACAGGTGAACCGGTAAATAAGCTCGTGACCCACATGATCGACTCTACGCACACACGCTTCGCATGCTACATAAGTCCACATGTTCGAGGAAATATTAAGTAAATCGTGAAACATTTGGTCCCACCACTTCCCTTAGATATATGACACCTGCTTAGAAAGCTGTCCGACAGGCCGTTCGCTCAGGTCGCCTTATAACATAAAGTGGAAGAAACGGAGAAATGCACTCATTTGCAAATCAAATTGGTTTTCATGAGAGACTCAACTGAATCACTCGTTTTTTATGATATTCTACAACTGAATGTGCTGCACGCAGGCCGCCTCATGTTTCATTTGGCACGATATTCGAGAAATCGCAGTATATTTTCAGCAACCTTGTGAGTAGTTTCCTTTGTGAAAACATACTGCGATATCTCGAATATCGTGCCATCTGAAAAATGAGGCGGACTGTGTGCAGCACATTCAGCTAGAGGCCATCATAAAAGAGAGATTCAAATGAGTTTCTAGTGAAAACAAAAGTGATTTGCAAATGAGTGTATTTCTGGAAAACAGTCCAATTTGGGTTCGAGTAGAACATAGGGTTGACAGAAACTCGGGAACTGCACCTACTTGATGAGTCCCAAGAAGGGTGAAACCGGCCGTAGGCTGTCGAAGAGTTTTCAGCAACCTTGTGAGTAGTTTGCTTTATGGAAAGAGCCTGAAGGCCTGACCAATGTCAGATATCTGGAAATCTCTGAAGAAGAACTCCATTGCATTACATCTTGCCAGTATTGAAAGCAACGAGATGCACCGAAATATGCCTTAGTGAGACGTTTCGCGAAAGGGTCAAATTCAGCACCAATTTGCGTAAATTTCGCGCCTGTTTAATTATAAAGTGTTAAACCGATGGATCAGGTTTCCTCAAAGCGAGAACGTTCTCAGATCACACTATCTCATAACCCCTTATCCAGAGGTTTAGTGTTCTATGTTGACCCCCCGTGCCGGGTGATAAAAGACAAGTGTTCCAGAAATATCTATTTTTCGGCCAAACGGAGAGTCTGCTGAACTGCATTCTGTCGTAAGCCATCGGAATTGGATATCGGAATGTGCAAATAAGTAGTGATAGCCTTTAAACAGCAGCAAACAAAGATACGGCCGGCGCAGCAAAATTACTCCTTGGAATGAATAATTGGCCATCCAAAACACGACGTTTGGAATGTCAAAACGTCCTCTCATGATTGGTTGTTACTATGGGTTGGAACATGGAAGCAACCGTTCTTCAACCCGATGTAGATTCTGTACTATTTTGGAATAGCCGCTCAGCTCCACACAGGAACTTTCAGCACAGGTGAAGAGGTTTTAAAGAGACTACGAGTTAGACAAAATGACAACTGGTTACATGCACTTCAATCCCATCAACTCTGCTTGAAAGTTTAGGTCGCCCCAAGAACCAATGTAACTCAAACTTGTTTGTTTTTGTCTTTTCATTTGAGAAAATTCAGATACGTCCGCCGTGAACTGGTTGAGCAGAATTAACCACTCACCTCGCAAGTCAGGTGTTCGCAGCCAAGGATATACACCATCGATGAGCTCCGGTGAGTCCAGTGCTTACCTTCTTTGATAAAGAATCACCAGATTGAGTGCGCCGGGACCAATGGACGGCTGTTCAAACGAAGGTTACGGAAAATATATCGAAGACGTAAACGGCTATTTGCTCCTGTCATTATGATGTGACCTGGGCTGAGCTGGATGTTGTCAACGACTAGAATTTGAAGGCAGATCCTTTTTTGAAAATGACATCTTGTCAAACAGTGGCGACGGGCCTTGTGTGAAACTCGGTCGACAGAGGCACCTGAAGCTAGACTCTGTCACTCTGTCAGAAGGCCGATCCACTCCGGCACAACATCGTGTTTTATGCGAATTGGGAGTCCTTTTTTGAAAATGACATCTTGTCAAACAGTGGCGACGGGCCTTGTGTGAAACTCGGTCGACAGAGGCACCTGAAGCTAGACTCTGTCACTCTGTCAGAAGGCCGATCCACTCCGGCACAACATCGTGTTTTATGCCACCAATAAACCTAATATCCAACATAGCGTTCGTCACACGCCCACACAAGAGTTTTTCACGGCAGAGTGTCTATCATGATATGTTACAATGGCTGGAACTGAACACTACCTCAAATAACCCACACATGTGTTGTACTTTAATTCAATTACTTGGAAACCAATAAACATAAGTAACAGGCATATTGTCTCTTGAAAACACTGGTAAAACTGTAAAAGAACTGGAAAATCCCGGATTATGGAGAATGTGTTCTCTCCAAAATCGACTGCGATGCAAAGCAGTGTGTGCTGTAAAACCCGTCCTCAAAACAAGAAATTCTAACCTATTTTCCACTTGTGAGGAATAGGTGGGTGTGCGTCTCATCTCCCACGTTGTCTAAAAAACTCAAACTTGCAGCAACGCCTAAGTTTTCGAATATTCGTTCACATTCCTTTCTACTAACCAGCACGCAAATTCTCGAATGTGTAAAGAATGGATTGTCCGTGCCACCGGAGACAAAAGTTTATAAATTTTAACCGAATTAATGCTTTTGAAGAAGTTTGGTGACAGTCGGTAGATTTATTGCTGGGCAACGTTTCGCTTTTGAAACAAAAGCTTCGTCAGGTCAAGCGACTAGGTTCCGAGGTTGGCCGAGATTTGGGCCGAACCAATCAGCTAAGTCAAGCTAAATCTCTGTTGGGTGTCG